CCAGTCGATAATGTAACAACCACAAAATAATGTAATAACCAGCAGATACTGTAACAATCAGCCGATAATGTAATAACCAGCCAATAATGTAACAGCCAGCCGATAATGCAACAACCAGCCGATCATGTAAAAAAAAAAAAAAAAAAAAAAAACTGCTAGTGCTGTAATAATCAGCCAATACTGTAATAATCAGCCGATAATGTAACAAGCAGCTTATAATGTAACGACAAACCGATAATGTAATAACCAGCTGATAATGTTCCTATAATGTGCACAATGTACATTTTGGTGGACAGTCTGTCACCTGCTTCTCTCCGTGGAGATGTTGCCCAGAATGGTCCTCAGACAGTCTGGCATTCCACTTATTTATCTCTACGGAGACAAGGCCAAGTGACATGTCAGAATCGTGGAGAGGCCCACTCACAGTAAGAATGCAAGTTTTTAAGTCAATAAAAACCCACATTATTGAGTAACTATTGCAAGATGGTCATGTTTAGTGTCCTACCAGGACATTTCAGACAAAGCAACAACGTCTCCATGGAGACGAGCAGGTGATGAACCCTTCAACAGAAAAGTTGCACAGTGCACATTGAAGTAAAAGTATTCAAGTACCTGTTTAATATTGTACTTAAAGAGTGAAAAGTAAAATTTGAGGTCTAATAAAGCTTCAGATGTAGTGACCCAAAATACCTGAACAGACTAATACAACTCCTGGTCTGTTTTTGAGGAGGTAACATTTTAACATGACTAAAAGCTCACAATAATTTGGTGTAATATAGGACCTTTTTTTTTTTTTTTTTTACATCCCTATCCTCCACAGTTCACCTTTTTGTCATCTCATCCTCGGGAAATGTCACACTTTTGCTCAAAAATCTTAAAGAATCTTCTCAAAAGCAGAAAAATGTCTGACTCCCTGAAGTGTGGAGTTACAAATGCACACGAGAGAGTCACTTGAACAGAATTTAAACTCAAGCGTCCTGCAAGAATAGCTGCCTGATGGACCCTCCCCTGCTCTTTTCTACTGTTTCCTCCTTACATACTTTTGCGATCATTTATTTGAAAGCCAAGAATTGCAGCTATGAACAATTTTAAGTAAGAAATATGGAATTATGTAGCAAAAGAAAAAAAAAAAAAATCATAACTCAATTTGTTTTTAAGATTTTTTTCTTCAAATAATTTTTTTACTACATAATTCCATATATCTTGCTTCATATATTTGATGTCTTCTGTATGTATATAAAATGTAGAAAATAGTAAAAAAAATAAAGCAAAAAAAACCCTTTTGACTAGCAGTACAGTGGTCCCTCATTTATTGCAGAGGTTACGTTCTAAAAATCACTAATAATTTGCAAAGTTGTCAGCTTTATTATTAGATTTGTTTTAAGGCTGTAAAACCCCTCAGCACACACTTTATACACAGTTACAACTCTTTTTGCATCCTTCTTAAAACTTACTGCTGCTGTCGTCCTAATGTTATTTTCCTCCTTCTTTATGTAACGAACCGAAGATTAATTTATTCCGTAATGGCGTCCTACAGCCACGTAACTTCTACCTTCCTTCAGCGTGTCCAGAAGTCCAACTTTTTGTGCGATGGTTTACATCTTCCTCTGCCTTTTGGGTGCGACCGCAGGAGCCTTTGTCACCGCACGGAGCCGATTGATTGGCAATTTTCTACAGTCCCTTAGCCAATCAGGACGCAGGTGGAGGAACACGATGCTTGTTCATATGTTCTAAAAAAAAAAAAAAAAAAAAGTATGCCAAATTGCACACAAAAAAATCCTCAAAACAGCGAGACCGCGAAAGATGAACCGTGTTATAGTGAGGGAGGACTGTAAACCTTTTACATTCGGAGTATTCTTCACCACAATTACTTTATAAGCACTTTTCACAACTTTCGGAGACCAGAGCCACGTTTTGCCATCACGGTAAAGCTAACAGCTAGAATGCTAACATGCTCTTCCTGATTACTGAACTGTAAAATGCTTTAGAATTAGATTTTTTTTTTTTTTTATTTTATGTCAAGAGCTGCTTATACACTATATCTGTACTTTGTCAAACTGTACTGGTAGGGGGTCCGTCATATGCTTTTCTCCAAGGAGATGTTATTACATTGTCTGGGATGTTTCACAGTATGGCATTAAAGCTTTCTATCTAGAGAAAACCAAACCAGACCAAGGTACAGGTCAGATCTGTGGAGAGGCAACCCCGCTCACAGTCAGAACGCTTGCTTTTCTAGGTATTTTTGAGCTCTAAAAAACACCTGTAATTGAATAAATGTAAGGCAGAGCTGTTTAATGTCATACTGTGGGACATTCCAGGCGCAGCAATGACATATCCATAGAAACAAGCAGATGACCGACCCCTCATCGAAAAGTTACACAATGCACACATCGGTATAAAACAGTCCCAAGCTCATTTAGAGAAATACAGATAGTTCGTCTCGGCCAGTGGAAGTCTAATTGCACTTTTAGACTTCTAGTTTAAATGGACAAAGTTGCTTTCATTTCAGCTGTAACTTAACAAGAAAAAATACACTCTTTTCTAATATAAAGCGAATTAAGAACAGAAGAGTAAGACTTTGGTTGTTCTTTAAACTTTTTAAACAATGAAAATGAACATCTGGAATTCAGCGGTGTTTTTTCTTTGTCATATTTGCGACGCACCAGCCAATCAGACAGAAAGCTTGAGCCTAATGTGCTGCTTTATTATCACAGTAAATAAATGAATGCAAATGTAATGGTTTGAATTCCCACAATGCACTTGGGGCCCGATGAGCTCTGCAGAAGTGCGTGTGGTTGAGGTCGGTGTCAGGACACGGTCTCAGCTGAACAGAGCATGACTCTGGACTATTATCCAGAATTATACTGTACAGTCTAATGTGGTTTCTTAATACTCTCATACTCCATCAATCCTGCGGTCTGATATTACGCCAGCCCATATTCTCCTTTGCCCACATCCAGAGGGAGAGCCAGGCGGGTCTGTGCCCACTAATGTATAAGACTTTATTTCCCTATAGGTCTAATATTATATAAACTATAATCTCATGTATAAGAGGATATCTGGTCTAATATCATATTAAAGTGTATTGTCCCATGCACAGGAGACTTGTTTGTGCTGACTCATATAATACTCTCTTTCCCTACAGGATACATGGTCTATTATGGTCTATTACTATATAATACTCTCTTCTGTGCACAGGAGGATATGGTGGTCTAATATTATAGAAACTATACTCTCGTAAACTGTGTTGTCCTTTCCCTGCGCACAGGAGGACAGTCAAAGTCCTGTCTGTGCTGACTCTTATACACTATTATACTATATTATCAGGTTCTTTTTTCAAACCTAGAGTTTTGTTTCATACCCGACAGTTTCGACTGCTCACTAGCGCGCTTCCTCAGAGTGGTCACGTGATGCTGCTGTGACGTGTCTGGTCAGCTGATTTAAACAGGTTTCACCAGTAGGAAGACAGCGCCAAAACCTGTTTAAATCAGCTGACCGGACACGTCACAGCAACATCACCTGACCACTCTGAGGAAGACGCTAGTGAGTCGAAACTGTCAGGTATGAAACAAAACTCTAGGTCTGAAAAAAGAACCTTATAACATAAAATATCGGAAGATCAAATGAATCTCATTGGACACCATTATACTGTTTCCCTATAGGTCTAATATTATACTACTGTAGGATAGTATGGTTTAATATCATCTTAAACTGTATTGTGTACAGGAGGATAGCCAAAGGCATGTGTGTGCTGACTCAAATATAATACTCTAATAGTTACCCTATAGCTCTTATATTACATAAACTACTCTATATGTTCATGTACAGGAGGATATATGACCTAATATCATGTTAAACTGTGTTGTCCTTCCCCTGTACAGGAGGATAGCCAAAGGAGTGTCTGTGCTGACTTATATATAATCCTCTCTAGGTCTAATATATAAACTAGATATATGGTGTAATATCATGCACAGGAGGATAGGACATATATATGGTGTAATCTCATGTTAAAGTGCACTGTGGTGTCCTCGTGGACAAGGGGATGGCCAAGGGCGTGTCTGTGGGGACTCATAAATAATACTCTCTACTTTCCCTATAGATTATATTATAGAAACTACAGTAGGATATATAGTGTAATCTCATGTTAAAGTGTACTGTGATCTCGTGCACAAGAGGCGTGTCTGTGTTGACTCATACACTCCTACAGGCCTAATATTCTATAAACTATTATAGGATATGTGGTGTAATCTCATGTTAAATTGTATTATGTTGTCCTTGTGTACAGGAGGATATCCAAAGGTGTGTCTGTGCTGACTCATATACTGTTTTCCTATGTAATATCTATCTACAGTAGGATATAGGTAATGTGTATTATGTTCTCTTGTTTAAGTATTATGTGTAATCTCATGTTAAAGTATACTGTGATCTTCTTGTGTACAGGAGGATAGTATGGTATACTCTCATGTTTAAGTGTATTATGTTGTTCTTGTGTACAGGAGGATAGTATGGTATAATCTCATGTTTAAGTGTATTATGTTGTTCTTGTGTACAGGAGGATAGTATGGTATAATCTCATGTTTAAGTGTATTATGTTGTTCTTGTGTACAGGAGGATAGTATGGTATAATCTCATGTTTAAGTGTATTATGTTGTTCTTGTGTACAGGAGGATAGTATGGTATAATCTCATGTTTAAGTGTATTATGTTGTTCTTGTGTACAGGAGGATAGTATGGTATAATCTCATGTTTAAGTGTATTATGTTGTTCTTGTGTACAGGAGGATAGTATGGTATAATCTCATGTTTAAGTGTATTATGTTGTTCTTGTGTACAGGAGGATAGTATGGTATAATCTCATGTTTAAGTGTATTATGTTGTTCTTGTGTACAGGAGGATAGTATGGTATAATCTCATGTTTAAGTGTATTATGTTGTTCTTGTGTACAGGAGGATAGTATGGTGTACTCTCATGTTTAAGTGTATTATGTTGTTCTTGTGTACAGGAGGATAGCCAAAGGCGTGTCTGTGCTGACTCACGGGGCCATGGCCCTGAGGAGGGACCAGGGGCCTTTGGGGAGGACTCTGTACGCAGGAAACTGTCAGAGTGACGGGAACCACACGCACCGAGTGCCTGACCGCATCAAGTAAGACTCCGCTTTGTCTGTTTACTGTGATTTAATCTGCGTGCCTGTCTATGGTAGGATGTTCAGCAGTTACCATGGGAACCCAATGCACACAGTAGCAAACACATTCGGACAGGTTTATAAGTCTCTAAAAAATAGATTTAAGCAACACATTTCCAGGAGCCTGTCATCAATACGAGCATTTTGTTCCCATCGAGGTGTTTGGTTTTCAACAAAAATGTGAGAGACAAACTGAAAACCTGTTAACCAAGACTATCTACACTTGTGACTGTCATTTTTGAGAGGGAATTGTTTTATGGCACAGATCATCTCACCTGTTGTAGTTCCAGCTAAGTCAGCTCTTTCTGGTCAGATTGTGCTAAAACAAAGCTCAGATTAAAGTCTAATTTGAGTAACAGAGCTTCAGACAGAGCAGTGCCTCAGTTAGCATCACACCTCCAGACAATGAGTGCGTATACATGCCACAGTATCCCAGTTACTATCGGAACATACCTGCATGTATAAGCACTCATTGATTGCGTTTACATGCACGAGTATCCCTTTGAGTATCCCGGTTTCTTCATGGTGCATGCATACGCAGTATCCTGGTTTCAGTGTCCCGGTTAAGGCAGTATCCAGGTTATTAGAAACCGGGTTACTGTAGCTGGAATATTCCGATAGTAACCGGGATACTGTGGCATGTATACGCAGTATCCAGGTTACTGCAACATAAACTTGAGTGCGCATGTGTCCAAAAGACAAACACTTTCCAGTCTGTTCACCGCAACAGTAGCGACATAAATACATTGACCAACATAAATAAAGTGATCAACATAAATAAAGTGTCCATACATGAGTGAAATGACTATAAAATAAAGAGCTGCACTAAACCTGCACTCGTACGACCTGCACGCGTATGATCGCTGAAAAATTAAAACATGAACTATCTCCTACACGATATGCACAGAACACACTTACCATCATTAGCACATGAAAAGTAAAGGAACGGAGAAGTTGGAAACGTAAGTAAAAGTCATTTATTGTTTTATCATTGCTCGTTTCACGTTGTAGTTCTTCTTCTTCACTTGCCGCTTGATCGGTCCGTCGGAAAATAGAGTCCCGCGGTCACTTCCGTTGTGGCTTTTTAATGTGTTGTGGCTTTTTTGTTGTGTCGTCGCATTTGTATTTGTTGCGGCGTTTGCGTTTGCCGCGACCCCTCTCGGCTTCCGTAGTTTAGAGGTGTGGCGCGTTAGATCTTTACGTATGAAACGAAAGCAACTGAGATTAGTTTCAATCTTGTTCGCCAAGTATTTTGTGTGACCGATGAATCTTAAATTTTCTCTAGAATGAGGCCAAGGTATTTAACTTCAATGACTGCTTGAATTTTCACTTGAATAGTCACTTCAGAGTCACAGTTTTTTGTTTGTGCACTGAAAAACAAAGAGAAACCGTTTTTTTTTTTCACATTCAGAGTGATGACATCAGCTGCAAAGTTTCAATAGTTTGGATTTGTTCCTTTTGATATGTTTGCTGTTTGTGATGATTATTACACATTACTTTGCTTTTTTGTGATCTGTACGTGTGGATGTGCATTTGCGCCGTTTCTGGGACATTCGTAAATCGATCCGTTCAGTGTCATGTCAAGTCTTTATAACTAAGTAATCACACCTCACTTTTCCGATCTCCCCTTTCTGTTTTCTCTTTCTCTATTCCCTCCCACTCTCTCTTTTCATTAGCTGCACTTAGTTAAAGCTCAAAATATAAAACATTTCTTTCGTGTTTAAATAAAGCTGTCTCAAGGCTGACTTTAATCTTTATTCAATCTGATTAAAAAGTTTTGCATTAGCTGCCGTGTGACTGTCGTTTTATGAGAGGGGGACTTGTTTAACGCACTTAACTCTCTCGTTCTCTCCGCTCTCTTTCGTCCCCCATCATCTCCCTCTCTTTCTTTCTCCCTCTCTCCTTCCTTCTCTCCAGTATCTCCCGCTCTGTTATGTCTCTATTATTATATTCTATTGAGATGTGAGAGCTTCTGTGTCCAAATCATTTCCCTTGTGTCGATAAAGTTGGTCTAAGTCTAACTCTCTCTTCCCTCACTTCTCCCTCTCTCATCCTATCATGTCCTTATCGTTTTCTCTCTCTCTCCATTCCTCATTCTCCCCGTCATCTCTGCTCTCTTTCTGTCTCTTCCCTGTCATCTCACTCTTTTTCTCTTTCTCTCCTCCTCCCTCTCACTCTTCCTCTCATTTTCTCTCTGCTGTCTCCCTTTCTCTCTCTCTGTCCCCCTCCTTCTCTTCAATATCTCTCTCTTTCCTCCTCTCTTCTCCAGCTTTGTCCCCTCTCATTCTATCTACTCTCTTTCTCTCTTCCCCTATCATCTTCTCTTTCTCTCCCCTGTATTTTCTCCAGTATCCCCCTCTCACTCCTCTGCTCTTTTCCCTTTCTCCTCCTTCTCATTTTCTCTACTATCTCTTTCCCCATCTCATTCTTCCTACTCTCTTTCTCTCTTCCCCCTGTCATCTTCGTCTCTTTCTCTCTCTCCGCTCCCATTATTTCTACTCTGTTTCTCTCTAACCTATCATCTCCCTCTCTTTTACTCTTCCTTCCCACCCTCTCCAATATCTCTCTCTCTCTTCTCCCTCTCTTCCTCTCTCCCCATTTGTTTTCTCTATCTCTCTCCCCTCTGTTCCCCCTCCCTTCACTTTCTCTCCTCCTCTCGTTCTCTCTAATATCTCCCTCTCTCTTCTCCTTTTTTTTCTCCTTAATCTTCTCTACTGTCTCTACTATCTCTCTCTCATTCTCTCCACGATCTCTCTCTCCCCCTATCATTCCACTTTTTCTCTTCCCTCTTTTCTTCCTCTCAGTCCCTCATTTTATCTCCCTCTCTCACCCTCTCTTCTCCCTCTCCTTCTCTCTCCCTTATCATCTCTCTCGCTCTCTCTCCCCCTCTCGTTCTCTCCACTCTCTCTACACCTCTCATTCTCTCTACTCTCTTTGCTCTCTCTCTCTCATTCTCTCTCTCTCTCTCTCCACCTCTCTCATTCTCTCTACTCTCTCTCTCCACCTCTCTCTCAACTCTCTCTCTCTCCCCCTCTCATTCTCTCTACTCTCTTTCTCTCTACTCTTTCTCTCTCTCTCTCCACCTCTCATTCTCTCTCCTCTCTCTCCTCTCTTCTCTTACTCTCTCTTCTCTCTTCTCCACTCTCATCTCTCTCTCTCTCTCTCCCCCTCATTCTCTCTTGCTCTCTCCCCCTCTCATTCTCTCTCTCTCCTCTCTCTTCTCTCTCTCCCCCTCATTCTCTCTACTCTCTTTCTCTCGCTCCACATCTCATCTCTCTCTCTTTCTCTCTTCTCTCCCCCTCTTATTCTCTCTACTCTCTATCTCTCTCTCCTCTTAATCTTTCTTCTCTCTCTCCACCTCTCATTCTCTCTCTCTCTCCTGCTCTCATTCTCTCTACTCTCTTTCTCTCTTTTTCTCCACCTCTCATCCTCCCTACTCTCTCTCTCTCTCCCCCTCTCATTCTCTCTGCTCTCTTTCTCTCTACTCTTTCTCTCTCTCTCTCCACCTCTCATTCTCAACTCTCTCTCTCTCCCCCTCTCATTCTCTCTACTCTCTTTCTCTCTACTCTTTCTCTCTCTCTCTTCCACTTCTCTCTCTCTCTCTCCCCTCTCATTCTCTCTACTCTCTTTCTCTCTTCTCATCTCTCTCTCTCTCTCTCTCCTCCTATTCTCTCTCTCCTCTCTTTCTTCCCTCTCATTCTCTCTGCTCTCTTTCTTCCCCCTCTCATTCTCTCTACTCTTTCTCTCTCCCCCCTCTCATTCTCTCTTTCTCTCTCTCACCTCTCTTTCTCTCTTCCCCCTCATTCTCTCTACTCTCTTTCTCTCGCTCCACATCTCATTCTCTCTTCTCTTTCTCTCTCTCTCCCCCTCTTATTCTCTCTACTCTCTATCTCTCTCTCCCTCTTAATCTTTCTTCTCTCTCTCCACCTCTCTCTCTCTCTCTCTCTCTCTTCTCTCTCTCTCTCTCTCTCTCTCTTCTCTCTACTCTCTCTCTCTCTCTCTCTCCCTCTCTCATTCTCTCTACTCTCTCTCTCTCTCTCTCCATCTCCCATTCTCTCTCTCTCTCCTGCTCTCATTCTCTCTACTCTCTTTCTCTCTTTTTCTCCACCTCTCATCCTCCCTACTCTCTCTCTCTCTCCCCCTCTCATTCTCTCTGCTCTCTTTCTTCCCCCTCTCATTCTCTCTATCTTTCTCTCTCCCCTCTCATTCTCTCTTTCTCTCTCTCACCTCTCTTTCTCTCTCCCCTCTCATTCTCTCTTTCTCTCTCTCACCTCTCTTTCTCTCTCCCCCCTCATTCTCTCTACTCTCTTTCTCTCGCTCCACATCTCATTCTCTTTCTCTTTCTCTCTCTCTCTCTCTCTCCCCCTCTTATTCTCTCTACTCTCTATCTCTCTCTCCCTCTTAATCTTTCTTCTCTCTCTCCACCTCTCATTCTCTCTACTCTTTCTCTCTCTTCCCCCTCATTCTCTCTACTCTCTTTCTCTCCTCTCTCTCTCTCTCTCTCTTCTCTCATTCTCTCTCTCTATCTCTCTTCCCTCTTCTCTCTCTCTCTCCACCTCTTCTCTCTACTCTCTCTCTCCCCCTCTCATTCTCTCTACTCTCTTTCTCTCTACTCTTTCTCTCTCTCTCTCCACCTCCCATTCTCTCTCTCTCTCTCTGCTCTCATTCTCTCTACTCTCTTTCTCTCTTTTTCTCCACCTCTCATCCTCCCTACTCTCTCTCTCTCTCCCCCTCTCATTCTCTCTGCTCTCTTCTCTCCCCCTCTCTTCTCTCTTTCCTCTCTCACTCTCTCTTTCTCTCTCCCCCTCATCTCTCTTTCTCTCTCTTTCTCTCGCTCCACATCTCATTCTCTCTACTCTTTCTCTCTCTCTCCCCCTCTTATTCTCTCTACTCTCTATCTCTCTCTCCCTCTTAATCTTTCTTCTCTCTCTCCACCTCTCATTCTCTCTACTCTTTCTCTC